GAGTGTGAACACATTTTCTTGTTCAAATCACAGTGTTTTTTACAAAGTACATTTAAAAAAATTATTCTAAAGTTAAATTAAGAAGGAGTACTTAGATAATTTTGTCATATAAGAAGAGGTAATATTAATCTTTCAAGACATGTTTTTTGATAAGATTTAGGAATGTGGGTTGCTTGATAACTCAGGTAGGTGAGTTAATAACTGGGTGAAATGCTATACACAAAGAGCAAACATATATGGTTCCATTGCCCACTTGATAATTGACAGATGTCTTTTTGGACTGTTCTAAGTATCTTCTTTGGGTCTAGTTACATTTCTAAAAATTTTTTTAAGATTTTATTTTTAAGAGCAGTTTTAGGTTCACAGCAAAACTGAACAGAGTCCACATATCCCCTCTGCTCCCACATATTCACAACCTCCCCAACTATTAACATTTGTCACTAGAGTGGTACAGTTGTTAAAATCAATGAATCTATATTGACCTATCATTATCACCCAAAGTTTATCATTTACATTAGGGTTCACTTTTGGTGTTTTACATTATAGTATTGTACAGAATAATTTCACTGTCCAAAAATCCTCTGTGTTCTGTGTATCCTTCAAAACCCTCTAGCCCCTGGCAACCACTAGTCTTTTTACTGCCTCCATTTTTGGGTTTTCCAGAATGTCATAGAGTTGGAATCATACGCTATGTAGCCTTTTCAGAATGGCTTCTTTCATTTAGTAATATGCATGTAAGGTTTACTTGTGTTTTCATGGCTTGATAGCTCATTTCTTTTTAGTGCTGAATAATATTCCATTCTTTGGATGTATCACAGTTGATCCATTTACCTACTGAAAGTTATCTTGGTTACTTCAGGTTTTGGCAATTATGAATTAATCTGTTATAAACAACCACGTTCAGTTTTTGTGTGGATATATGTTTTCAACTTCTTTGTATAAGTACCAAGGAGGGGATTGCTGGATTGTATGATGAGTATATTTAGTTTTGTAAGAAACTACCAAACGGTCTTCCAAAGGGTTTGTACCATTTTGCATTCCCACTAATAATGAATGAAAGTTACTGTTGGTCCTTATCTTTGCCAGAATTTGGTGGTGTCAGTGTTCTGGATTTTTGTCATTCTAAAAGGTGTGTGGTGTTATCTCATTGTAGTTTTGATTTCCAGTTTCCTAATGAGATATGATGTTGAACATCTTTTCATATGCTTATTTCCTATCTGTATATCTTTGTTGAGATATCTGTTCCAAGCCTTTTGCCCCTTTTTAAAACGAGTTCTTTTATTGTTAAGTTTTAGGAGTTCTTTGCCTATTTCAGATAGCAGTTCTTTGTCAGGTTTATCTTTTGCAAATATTTTTTCCCATTCTGTGGCTTGTATTCTCATTCTCTTGACAGTGTTGTATGCAGAGCAGTAGTTTTTTAATTTTAATCAAGACCAGCTAATCAATTATTTTGTTCACAGATTATGCCTTTGGTCTTGTATTTGCAAAGTTATTATCATACTCAAGGTCATCTAATTTTGCATTGTACATTACATAGGTCTATGATCATTTTGAGTTAATTTTTGTGAAGGGTATAAAGTCTTTGTCTAAATTCTTTTTTTCTTTTCTTTTGACATGTGGAAAAAAGACAGTTTTTTTCCATTGTATTGCCTTTGCTCTTTTGTCAAAGATCAGTTAACTGTATTTATGTGGAGCTTTAAATTTTAGAGTGAATTAGTCAATACCCACAAAATAACTCACTGGAATTTTGAGTAGAATTGTATTGAATCTATAGATCAAGTAGGGAAGAAATGATATCTCAACAACATTAAGTCTTCCTATCCATAAACTTGAAATGTCTCCCCGTTTACTTTTTTTAAAATTTTATTTTTGTTTAAAATATTACAGATGTCCCATTTTCTCCCCAATGACCCGTTCCACCCCGTCCCATCCCCCCCCCAGTCACTCTCCCCACCGTTGTCCATGTCCTTGGGTTGTGTCCCCATTTACTTTTAGTTTAGTTTATCTTTGATTTTGCTCATCTGAGTTTTGTAATTTCTCTTGTACATATTTTGTTAGATTTGCCCTAAATTATACCTAAATATTTAAATTTTTTAGGTGTTTTGTTTTGTTTTGTTAATCCTCATCTGAGGGTATTTTTTTCCATTGATTTTTAGAGAGAATGGAAGCGAGGGGGAGAGAGAGAGAAACATAGATGTGAAAGAGACACATGGATTGGTTGCCTCCAGTATGCACCCCAACCAGGGCCGGGGATCGAGCCTGAAACCAAGGTACATGCCCTTAACCTGTATGGAACCTGCAACCTTTCAGTCTGCAGGTTTATGCTCTAATCACTGAGCAAACTGGAAAGGACATAAATGTATTATTTTTAATTTCAAGTTCCACTTGTTCATTGTTGGTGTATAGGAAAGCGATCGACTTTGTATATTAACCTTGTATCCTGCAACCTTGCTATAATTGCTTATTAGTTCCAGGAGGGTTTTTGTGTGTGTATGTGTGTGGTTTTTTTGTTCAATTCTTTTGGATTCTTTTGGTCAGTTCTTTTCTGTGTAGATAACTATGTTACCTTTGTAAACAAAGACAGTTTTATTTCTTCCTTCCCAATCTGTATACCCTTTATTTCCTTTTCTTGTCTTGGAATTAGCTAGGGCTTCCAATATAATGTTAAAAAGAAATGGTAACGAGACATGAGTGTTGGCTTTTGTTGAATGCTTTTTTTCTGTATTGATATAATCATGTGATTTTTCTTTTTTAACTTGTTAATGTGATGGATTACATAAAATAATTTTGAATGTTGAATCAGCCTTGCATATCCAGGATAAATCCCACTTGGTTGTGGTATGTAATTCTTTTTATACATTCATTGTTGTATTCAGTTTGCTAATTATTCCTGGTCACATTTTTATTAATAACTTGGCTGGATCCCTTCATGGCATACTGATCAAATATTCAGTTAAAGCTTTGAAAAATAGCGTATATATTGGGTGACAGAATTGAAGTCCATTTTTTTCTCCTCTATAGGATAAATTGTCTAAATCTAGCAAGATAGAATTTAAAACACATTATGTAAAGATTTTTTTTTTTTGAGAATCAGTTTAACATGCACAGTTAATGGCACAGACTACCTGAGTTTTAACACAAGCTCTGCCTTAGAAGCTATATAACTTTGAGCAAATTATTTAACCTCTCCATGTCTCCATTTCTTCATCTATAAAATATGGGGTAATGGTGATACTTATCACATAGGGTTGTTGTGAAGTATAAAAGAAGTAATATAGCCCAGCCGGGCGTGGCTCAGCAGTTGAGCGTCGACCTAGGATCCAGGCAATCGGGGTTCAGTTCCTGGTCAGGGCACATGCCCAGGTTGCGGGCTCCGTCCTCAGTCGGGGGTGTGCAGGAAGCAGCCAATCAATGACTCATCATTGATGTTTCTCTCTCTCTCCCTCTCCTTTCCTCTCTCTGAAATCAATGAAGATATATTTTTAAAAATAATAATAAAATAAAAGTAGTAATACACATAAGTCTTATAAAACAATAGCTGACACATACTAAGCCTGTATTAAATGTTACCTGTGATTATTATAAAGTTCTGCACTTAGGTTCAAACACACACAGTTGTTTAGGATTTGAGTGATGTAACTTGGCACAACTGAAAAAGATTAGATATCTTAGTCTTTTGTTGATTGTAAACTCAAGGGAGTGATAGTGTGATTTAAATAGGATAAACATTAATGTAGTCTAAAGGTCTAAAAGAGGGGTTAACAGCCCCAATATTGCCGGTACCAATTTCCCACTAAAATAGTTTGAAGAAAAATTAAAATTTAATATTTCTTAATTTGAGATGGAAAGAAAACCCTTTGCTAGAATCTAGGAGAAACACTTGATAACTTACAAATTAAAGAAGCTGGATTGAGAAAAACCAACCTAAACATACCTAGATTTTAGCATAAGATTCTGTTAAAGAAGGAAGGAAAGTGTTTCATGTTTTCTTTCTGATGCTTGTCCCTGAACCTGTTGACACAGGTTTAGTACCAGCTGGAAAATTGGGTTGCTCTTTTTCTTTCCTAGTGACTTTGACACTTTAAAAAAATTATTATGCCCTGGCCGTTGTGGCTCAGTTGATTAGAGCATCAACCGGTGCAGTGAAGGGTCTCGGGTTTGATTCCCAGTCAGGACACATACCCAGGTTGCAGGTTTGATCCCCAGTTGAGGCCCAAGGCAAGTAATTGATGTTTCTCTCTCACATTGATGTTTTTCTCTCTCAATTATTGGACTGGTGACATTCATAAAAACTCACCTTGATAATAGTATTGATGAGCCTTTTAGCAAAATGGTAGAAATGTGGTTATTTATTTTTAAATTATTTGATTGAGATTCTAAAGACAGCAGTAGTAACAGTTTAAGTTGTTTTGACTAGTAAAATGTCAGATATGATGGACATAACAACTCTTCAGTGGTAATGATAGTTCTACCCTACTTTGATGACATGTCTATTTCTTTCTGTTTTTCTCTTATAATAATTGCTTTCTACCAATGTTGGAAATTTCTCCTTCTTGACACAGCTCTTCCTGTTTTGGGCCCCTTGAGGACTACTAGTCTTATAAAGGATATGTGTGGAATGGGATTTGTGGGAGTTGCTGTGAACAAACAACAATGTCTTATCTGTTTGTCTCTTTCTCTGTGTACATACAGTATTTTATATTCAAAGATCCAGTAATTTGCCTCTAGGCATTTGACTTTTATGTAGGGGAATTATTTGTTATGAATTAGAGGAGATTGTGGTTCTACATTAGTGTGTGTATCTTTTAGTTGCTGCAGTGACTTGCAGTGGTCATGTTTGTTATATTATACTAAAGTCCTATTTTCTGGGGAAATTCGAGAATCTACTCTTTTATTTTGTGTTCCTGTATTTTGTTTAGAGTTGCCATATCAGTGTTATATAGCAATAATTATGTTACTGACAACAATTTTGTGAGATGTTTATTATTCTCATTTTACAGATGAGGAAACTGAGGCTTGGTGAAGTTACGAAACTTGTCCAAAGTTACACAGCTTGTAAAGGGCACAACCAAGATTCAGAGACAGGTCTGTCCAACTTTGAAACTCTTAATCATGGTCATGAACCTTTGAAATAGCTGTGAAATATCAACCTGTGATAAGTTGTATTTATACTAATATTGCTTCTTATTGATATTTTTTAATGTTTTTTTAATCCATAATAATTTTATATATCTTTTAAATATTGTGAAAAGAAGTATAGCATAGTACTTAAGGGTCTGGGACTCTGCAGACAGACTACCTGGGTATGAGTCCCTAAGTTTCTCTACTTATTTGTGTGGCATTGGGAAAGTTACTAAACTTTTCTGTACCTCAGTTTTCCTATCTGTAAAATGGTGATAGTAGTATTATATACCTGATAGTGTTGTTGTGAAGATAAAATGATTTAATATGTAGAAAGCTCTTTTGATAGGGCCTGGCACACAGTAAGCATTCAATAAATGTTAACTATTAGTATTATCATCTAGCAACCAGTAAAACATAATCATTATTTCTAATTCTGTTTAGGATAAAGCCAAATTTAAGCAGCAATATAAGATACCACAAAACTTACATAAACCAAAATTAAATTTGAATAAGTTAAACCTAAACAAAGTCATACATTTCACTGAGTTCAGATCTGTTGTAAAGCAAACTGGGCAACTGCTTATAGGTCTGACACATACAAGGGTATTATATATATGAAGACTACACATAGGTTGACTAGAATACCTTTTAGCCCAGTACAGTCATTGTATTATTAATGTGTCTTGTATGTTTTCCTCTTGTAAAAGCAATTTGTGCTTAGAATATGTGTTTACATTTTTAGGTGGCTTTTAAGGAGATAGTGTTTTGGCAGTGTTCGCAGGGAATTACTGAGAGCCAAAACCTTATGTGTTATTTAAAATGTTGGCTATGTCTTATCACTTACAGCAGTGGTTATCAGAACTTACATTGTGGTAAACCAGTGGATTTGATTGATCTTTGAACCAACGGGACCATAGCACGTTCAGCTAGAACTCAGCCGAATACTGATCATGTGCTCTTCACTCATTCTTGTTCATTGCAGCTGTCAATTCTAAAGTACCATATCGACTATTACTACAATTTGGTTAAAATTAAAACCCTGTGATTAGTGGCTAATAAGTTTATGCCAATTGCAAAAAAATATTCATGAATGGGAGTAATTTGAGTCAAGTTATACAAAACTTCAAAGGCTATATTAGGATGAGAGGGAGATCTGGCTGCAATATCTGTTACCCCATTGATTTCTAGGGTTGATTCTGCTGATCTGGCTGGCTAGGCAAGTGTCCCCTTCCTTCCTCACCCATGTGTGTCCCTCCCAAAGCTGCACACTTGGTCGAAGAGGCTAACCATTCCCAGTAGAGCAGAGAACCATTCCCCTGCTAGAACTTCCAAATAAGCTCTTAAAAGCTGTTGTTAAAAAATGGGGTCTTGCCTTGTATGTGAGCCTAAGATCTCTGTAGCTTTTAATCTACACGTGCGTATTTGTGTGTTTTTAATCCTCGCCCGAGGATATGTTTTTACTGATTTGAGAGAGAGAGAGAGGAAGGGGGGAGACAGAAACATCAGTGTGAGAGAGAAGCATTGATCATCTTTCATAGGCACCTTGACTGGGAATCAAACCCAAACTCACAAACTTATTCTTTTTATCATATTGAGTCTTTCTGTCCTTAAACATGGTATATCTTTGTAGCTATTTGGATATTTAAAAATATTTTTCAGCAAAGTATTCTTTTCTCCATAAAGATCTCTCAAATCTTCTCTTAGATTTAATTATTAGATACCTTATTTCTTGTTACTGTTGTAAAAAGTATATTTTTCCTTCTCCCCATTTTCTATTTGCTACTGTAAGAATTTTTAGTATGGACATCTGTGTTCAGCCATCTTACTAAAATATTTTATTAAAGTATTATGAATGTGAATCGTATCTTCCTTTCCAATGCTTACACCATTAAAAATGTTTTTTTTTGCCTCACTAGGCTAGTTAGGACTTCCAGTACAGTATCCAATACAGTGTTAATATTGGGCATTCTTGTGCTATACCTAATTTTTAAAAGGAAGTGCTCCTTATGTTTCACAATTAATAATGTTTGCTATAGATTTTTGATAGATACTCTATAGTTTAAAGACATTTGGTTGCTAGTTGACTAAGATTTTGTGGTTGTGTACGAAGAATAAATTTGAAATGTTATCAGATGATTTTTCTGCAGTCGTGAGATGATCATATGGTTATCCTCCCTTATTCTGTTAAGGTGGTAAATGACATTTATAGATTTTCTTTTTTTTAAAATATATCCTTATTGACTTCATAGAGAGGAAAGGAGAGGGATAGAGAGATAGAAACATCAATGATGAGAAAGTCATTAATCGGCTGCCTCCTGCATGCCCCTGACTGGGGATCGGGCCCGCAACCCGGGCATGTGCCCTGACCGGGAATTGAACCCCGATCGCCTGGATCCTGGGTCAACACTCAACCGCTGAGCCATGCTGGGCCGGGCTATAGATTTTCTAATGTTGAATTACCCTTGCATTGCTGGAATGAACCCAATTTAATCATGATGATCTTTCTTATACTATACAGTTGGATTTAGTTTATTAGTATTTCATTTAGGATTTTTGCATCTATGTTCACGGGTGAAATTGGCCCATAATATTTATTTCTTATGTTACCCTGATTTGATTTTAGTATCCAGATGATGCCAACCTCAAAGAATGACTTGAGAACTAATCTTTCTTTACCCTTCCGAAAGGATCACTTTAAAACTGGGATGATCTGTTTCTTTTAAAGTTTGGTTGAACTTCTGTTCAACTGTCTGGCCTTAGTATTTTGGGGGAGGCATGTGAGCTTAGTATTTTTTGAGAGTTATGTATTCAGTTTTCTACATGGTTTTATTTAGGATTTCTGTTTCTAGTTAGGTCAGTTTTTAGAAAGGTTTTTTTTTTTTTTCTTTTTGTAAGAATCCACCCATTTTGTCTGAGTTTTTGAAGTATTTTGCATAAAGTTATTCAAAGCATTCTTTTTTTTTTTTTAGAAGATAACTTTATTTGAGGACAAACATACTTTTTTAAAAATAAGTTTTTATTGGTTTTAGAGAGAGAGGAAGGGAGAGGGATAGAGAGAAAGAAACATGTATGAGACAGAGACATCGATTGGCTGCCTCCTGCACGCTCCCTACTAGGGATCGAGCCCACAACCTGGGCATGTGCCCTGACTGGGAATTGAACTGGTGAACTTTTGGTTCGTGGCCAATGCTCAACCACTGAGCCACACTGGCCAGGCTCAAAGCATTCTTTTGTTTTCTTAAAATTCTGTTAATACCTCCCCTTTTTTATACGCAATATTTTTGTGCCTTCTTTTTTCCTTCATCAGTCTTGCTAGAGGTTTTCTATATTTTCTTAGCCTTATCAAAAATACCAATGCTTGACTTTTATTTCCTTTGTTATATGTTTCTATTTCATTTATTTCTGGCCTTTCTTCTTTCTACTTTTTCTTTTAAATACATTTTTTATTGATTTCAGAGAAATGAAGGGAGAGGGAGAGAGAGATAGAAACATCAATGATGAGAGAGAGTCATTGATTAGCTGCCTCCTGTACACACCCCGCACTGGGGATTGAGCCTGCAACCTGGGCATATGCCTGACCAGGAATTGAACCATGACCTCTTAGTTCATAGGTTGACACCCAAGCACTGAGCCATGCCTGCTGGGTTCCTTTCTACATTTTTAAAGTGAAAAGCAGAATCCAAACTATAAGAACACTGGGGAATCTCACAGTTTCCAAGGGAAAAGTTTCGATAGGCCTTAAGAACAGCTGGAACCAGGGACTTAAAGTGCTACTAGGACCTTCTTCCTTATTCCTTTATGAATCGTTTTTTCTCTCTAGTCATTAACTGGCTTTTCTATTCTTTATGTCAGTGTGGCTGAAAATGATGACAGTGAGCCTCTGAATTTGATTCCTTCAGGGATTTCAGGTTTTTCCATCTGGATTTCTTTCTTTCTGAAGATTGTGTTCTTTAGAATTCTTTTTAATGATATTTTCTTTCATAAACTCTCAGGTTTTTTGTGTGTGAAAGTATCTTTATCACCCTCATTCTTGATAGGTAGATATTTTATTAGGCATAAAATTATGGGTTGGCAGTTATTTTTTTAGCTGTTGGAAGAAATATTTTTATTTTCTTTAGTTTCCATTGTTCCTCTTGATAAATTAGCTGCCTAATAGTTGTTCACTTGAGTGAATTTGTCTTTTTTTTTTTTTTTACCTCTGGCTGCTTTTGAGCTCTTCGTGTTTTGGTATTCTGAAGTTTCATATGCTGTCCCTAGGTATAGATTTCTTTTTATTTACCCTTTGAGATTTTGACTGTGAGCTGCTTATTTTCCCTGGAAGAAATGTTTGTAGGTTTTCTTTCAGGCCCAAGAAGGAATTAACTGCATTACTTCCAGAGAATTTACCTTTGGTTTTTTTATTTTGTTTTGTTTTTTTCCAGGTGCCTCAAGGTACTAGTTTGGTGACTATAAATTCATCCCTTGTGATTTTGGACCACTCAAATAGGGTGAATTTGGGTTGCAGATATCTATTTGGGCCACTTGTCTTTACTACTCTTAGGAATCCTTGTTCTCTTCTGCAACAGGAGGACAAATTTCCCTGTAGTCTTTTGGGGATAAGATATGGGAATGGATAGACTGGGTTTAATTCTGGTTTATACTCTTTCCAGAGAATGAAACTTTTGGGGGTCCCAGCTTTATGGAGAAAGGGTCTCCTGTTAGATTTTCCATGTTGGCTGGGTCTTGAACTTTGACTTTTTCTCTCCCAAGAGATCATTAGAACTGAAGCTCAACTTTGTGAGTTAGGCAGATGTCTACAGGACAAAAGGAGTTTCATCATGCCACTTACCTCTGAGTTTCTCTTTCTTACAGATTTTGATCTGGTTATTCCTTTACCATCTTGTCAGCTCTTCAACGTTTTTAGTATATTTTTAGATAAAATTTTACCGATTACTTTTTGTTGTTTTCAGTAAGAGAATTAG